AATTCCGGGGGGGGGGAATTAAATAATTTAAATAATTTAAATCCGAACCCCCCCTTTCAGATTTAAATTATTTAAATTATTTAATTCCCCTCCCGGAATTAAATAATTTAAATAATTTAAATAATTTAAATAATTTAAATAATTTAAATCCGAAAAGGGGGGGGGCCAGGCCCAGGCCCCCTCCCCCTCCCAGAATTAAATAATTTAAATAATTTAAATCCGGAACGCCCCTTTCGGATTTAAATTATTTAAATTATTTAATTCCTTGCCCCAGACCCCCCAGAAACGATAATAGGGTCTATTTGGAAGTTGTCTCTTGTAAATAAGTATACGTTTTGGGGCCTTATTTCCTCTTTAAAACACGAGTCTCAGCTTCCAAATAGACCCTATTTAAGCTGCACACGGGGGGGGGGGGGGGGAGTATATATATATATATATGTATATATATATATGGAGAGAGAGAGAGAGAGAGAGAGAGTAATATAATGAGATTTGCCATAAAAAGGAAGAATATATATATATATATACATATAATACAGTACAATTTCAAACAATAGTGTAGCCTTATATATATATAATAAAATACCAATACAACTTCACATCATACAATAAGATATATAACATTCATCAAACAATGTACCAAAGTATACTGTAATATACTACAGATATATTATATATTATATATATACATTCATACATATACATATAGTTGCGTAGAAAATGATGTCAATAGTTTTTCCTCAATGCCGCAAGCTCACCCAGAGGGCGTCCGGAGACCCACGCTTGGCCCATTTATCTACGAGCTGGAGGCTGGGATGGGAAATCGCTTAAACAGCTTAGTCGGTCGTCCCCACTTCTACTGGAGGAAAAAGGAGCTCAGATGCTCCAAGCTCCCCAAGCCAAGCCCCGCAGAAGCCCTGGGCAGAAGTGCTGCGTTAAGTGCTGTCAGGTGAGTCAGGTCGACCATCTCCACAAGGGCGAAGTGGACACTGCCGACGCAGAGGAGTGTGATGGTGCGCAGTCTAGATCTAACCAATCCAGACACTGCTTCCGGCCCCTGGGTGTAACGCACCCAGGGGCCCGGAAAGAGACTTCCAGAGGTCTGAGAACCTCCTTTTCAGGACAGGTTCCCAGAACAGCCCCCAACTGCAAGGAGGGAACTCTCCAAACCTAACTCAAACCCTTCTACCCAAAGCAAGCAGGGCGCGTACTCTCTTTTAGCACTTTTCAGCCTTGTAGAGCCCTATAGGCTTTCAGGGTTCTGACCCTAAAGGGTGCAGGTTTAGATGCCTAAAGCGTAAACCCTTAAGGTTTAAACTCTATGGGCTTAGGTTTAAATACCTAGATTTTAAAATCTTCAAACCTATTATAACCGTGTAGGATTAAAGGTTAAGGGTTTAGGTGTAATTGCTTAACCTTGAAACCCTATGGATCTAAAGGTTCAGGTTCAGGTTTAACCCTAAACCCTATCGGCTTTAAGCCCTGAACCCTATAGGGTTTCGGTGCCTCTCTTTTTATAAGACTTAAACCTGAACCGATAGGGGTTTAGAGATGTAGCCCTGAAAAAAAGCCTTTGCAAAAACCAGGGAGCGCAGCGGAGCGGAAGGGAGGGGAGGGGAGAAGGTCGCTGTGCCCAGTGTTTGGACAGATGGAGAGGACTCGACATCTCAGGGATTGCATGCATTTACGTTATGTAGGGGATTGGGCTATTGGAGGAGGGGGTGGGGGAGTTCAGGGTCACCGCGGCCCGTGAACGATCTAATTGGCTCGCAACCACAAAAAGCGTGGATAGCCACAAAAAAGCGTGGATAACCCGGGGGGGGGGGGGGGGGGGGTATAGCATATATATATATGTATATATGTCTATATATATATATATATATAATATATGGGAGAGAGAGAGTAATATAGTGAGATTTGCCATAAAAAGGAAGAATATATATAGAAAAAAATGTATACATATAATACAGTACAAATTCCAACTATAGTGTAATATATATATATATATATATATATATATATATATATATATATATTTTCATAATAAAATACCAATACAACTTCACATCATACAATAAGATATATAACATTCATCAAACAATGTACCAAAGTATACTGTAATATACTACAGATATATTATATATATATATATATATATACATTCAGACATATACATATAGTTGCGTAGAAAGCGATGTCAATAGTTTTTCCTGAATGCCGCAAGCTCACCCAGAGGGCGTCCGGAGACCCACGCTTGGCCCATTTATCTACGAGCTGGAGGCTGGGATGGGAAATCGCTTCAACAGCTTAGTCGGTCGTCCCCACTTCTACTGGAGGAAAAAGGAGCTCAGATGCTCCAAGCTCCCCAGGCCAAGCCCCCGCAGAAGCCCTGGGCAGAAGTGCTGCGTTAAGTGCTGTCAGGTGAGTCAGGTCGACCATCTCCACAAGGGCGAAGTGGACACTGCCGACGCAGAGGAGTGTGATGGTGCGCAGTCTAGATCTAACCAATCCAGACACTGCTTCCGGCCCCTGGGTGTAACGCACCCAGGGGCCCGGAAAGAGACTTCCAGAGGTCTGAGAACCTCCTTTTCAGGACAGGTTCCCAGAACAGCCCCCAACTGCAAGGAGGGAACTCTCCAAACCTAACTCAAACCCTTCTACCCAAAGCAAGCAGGGCGCGTACTCTCTTTTAGCACAGCGTTGCTCGCTGGTCACGGCTTGAGCCAAAATTAGAAACGTCACACTACACTTGCAACTACAAACTACACAAAAGACAGGCGGCTACGGAAAGCAAACTACGTCGGGGGCTACAGGGATACTGTACAGAGGTCTAACCTTCACACAGTAGCAGTAGCAGTAGCAGTAGCAGTAGCAGTGGCAGTGGCAGTAGCAGTAGCAGTAGCAGTAGCAGTAGCAGTAGCAGTAGCAGGAGCAGTTAGTAGCAGTAGCAGTAGCAGTAGCAGTAGCAGTAGCATCTTATCGAAGCAAGCCCTGATGGTCCTGCTGCGTCTGCACTTCCTGAAGGGGACAAGCCTCTAGATTTGAGTTCACCTGGATTCCCCGTTGTGGATGATGCACATGTCAGTGATCGAGTTCGCAAACTGAGAGATGAAGCTGTAAGTGTGAAGCATTGCTTGTTCCACTTCCCAAAGAACCCGTTCTGTGATGTGTGCAATCAATCCAAGCTCTTGTCCAGAAGAGTGTGTCGCAAGCCTCGTGATGAGGACTCTGAGCCCGCGTTGCTTGAAGCCTCGGAATTTGGAGAAGTCATCGCAGCTGATCACATTCATGTGTTCAAGGCGCTCGGCGACTCCAATGCTCCCGGAAGAGAGTATGTTGTGTTCGAGCAGTGCCCTGTTCAATGACGTTGCCTTTACTTGAAGTTTGGCAAACCGTGGTTCCTGGCATCAGGCTTTTGTGTCGTGCAAATAATTAAGCTTGTGTCGCCATTATCCCTAGAGGATATTCAGCTAAGCTGAGAAAGGTAATCCTTTGACGAAGGCCCTTTCAATCCGGAAATGGGCTCATGCACTAAAGTTGCTGCACATTTCTACTAAACATCTGCCAGATGTTCCCAGCTAAGTGTGTTCGCCATCACCTAAAGCTTTGTTACAATTGCCTCTGGTGATAATGTTGCGATGGTTGTTCAGCTGAGCGATGCTTCCATCACTGTGCAACTTGCAGACACTCGGATGCCCAGCGGCCGCTCTCTTCATCCTTGTGTCATCCGAATGAGCTCTTGAAGAACTCGTTCCTAAATCACTGCCTCTCCTCAATCTCGCACTGTGTGATGTCGGTGTTTGGCTGCGGCCTAGCGCCACTCTGACTCTGCGTGAGCACAGCTGTGCTTCTGATTGGGAGTAATCTTGTACAGTACCCATCATCGTGCTTTTGCAGACAGATGGATATGAGCCATCATCCCTGTGTCATCTGAATGAGTTCTTGAGGATCTCGTTCTGCACTCCTTGCCTGCCCTCAGCCTTGCACTGCGTGATGTCAGTGTCCGGCTGCTCCCAAGCGCCGCTCTGACTCCGCCTGAGCACAGTCCTGCACCGGTTGAGAGTAGTTTTGTATAGTTTGCAAGTAGAATTACCTTAAAGGTTTATTGAGTCTGCGTTTCAGCCTGATCACCTGAAATACTGGATTCAATTTGTACATGGCTAAGCCTGTACTTCAATCGACAGTAGGTTTGGCTGCAGAGTTGAGCTCGTAGCTGTTGCTTCCTGAAGTCCAGAATCGAGCTTCAAATGAGCTCTAGGACTTGAGAGTCTGCAATCATGAAGGGGGAGTTGTTGATTTACGGGTATCCTCCTTGTATAGTCATGTTGTGCAGACCAGGACTACGACCTGCCGTCACCATTTTGGCTCAAGATGAAAGCAAGCCCGTGCGTGAAGGGCTTTGACTTGAGGGCTGTGGTTCCCTTGGGGTTCCCCTTCCCTCTTCCCTGTTCTTTCCCTAACATCGTGTCATCGCTGTTTTGGGTTAGGAAAACTGCTGGACGCAGAAGTTCTAGGGTGGCACTTCAGCTGGAGGCTCCTTTACTCAAGTCAAGAGAGGTCCTGGGGGTTCATGGCCCGAGGGGCCTTGAGTTGCAGAATCTTTTGGAGAGGCTGCGTGACTAGAGTTTGTTGTGTAGTATTGTTGCATGCCTACTATAGAACACTGATAGTACAAATAATCTACTACGGCGTACCGTAGCATTCTGCATGTTCCTGTGCATAGCATATATGCCAGCATAGTGAGTAGTGGTATACGATAGTAAGCTGTAGTCTATCTTTTTGTTGGGCCGGGGATTCTGGAACTTGCGCCCAAGTGTTTCTGAGAACAGCCAGCTAGACCATCACCACTCTGACGTCATGTTCTCCTTGAGAGCAGCATTGCTGAAACGAGCGTGTACAAGATCATGCCATATTGTACCTGCATGTGCTTGTGCATACGCGTAAGTTTCCTATGCCATACGACAGTATATTATGGGCCTGTTCTTTCATGAGTGGCCTAGGTTTGTCGAGACGGAGAGCTTCGGTCGCCTGTATGCCACTGGTGACCTCGGTCGATGGACGCAGGTCTGGGCACAAGTGCTGTTTTGGTACCCAGAGCTGACAGCCTATCTAGCTGTGCATGGTTTAATGTAGGGAGTATAGTATGGTGTATTCGAAAGCACCACGCCAGACGGAATGATCTCTCTGTGCAGTTCGTGCATGGTAGTTGAGACTCAGCTTGCAGCTGGCCAGGGGGTGCTGGAGGTCATCGGCCGCATCGATCGCCAACTGAAGGTTTCCCGCCATGTTGCAAGAAGACGCCCCGGCACAGCCGAAAAATTGCTGTATATGCAATAATAGCATAGTGTACTTGAATATACCATGTTGCAACATTTGTTGGAGCAGCTTGACATGCCCTGCAGGACGATGTCGTCCTGTTCTGTGGATTGATGGTCCGTCCTGTTTTGCTCAGGTGAACGGTGTCCGTGTGGAGCCGGAAGAGGTCGAGTCCGCCCTCCTGAAGTACATTATACGGGATGGGGATCCAGAGCCCCAGAAGGCGGGCACAAACTGCAATATACAAGAGCATGCTACATGATCGCATGTTTTAGAATACTACGGCATAGTTGTATAGCTACAGTGCAGTTTAGATTTTAGAGTCCTAGCCATGATTGTGCGAGATTCTAGCTATCTTCTTGGGAGCAGCATACTCTTGCTGAAGGGATTTCTGTGCGATTGGCCAAGCCCAGCCCTTTGCAGGCTTTCTGTTCTCTAGACCCCCAGGATCAGCGACTATGGAGTCGCTGCTATTGTAGAAAAAACCAGACGGTACTTCGCCACGGCACACTATGATAACTAGATTGCACGACGCTAAACGATACAGAATGCTAGAGCACATGTATACTTTACCATGCAAAACTAATTCCTGCCTATGGCTGCCTAGAGAAAGGCTGCCTAGAGAAAGGATCACGTGCGGCCTGTGGCACGAGCTGGGGTGGTGGCAACCAGCTCGCCCCAACAGCTCGTGGCCTTCGTAACGCTCCGCGAGGACCTGAAAGGGCCTTGATTTGAAACTATGCAAATGTAATGTATACATATATAGTGAGAAATATAAATAAAGATAGGAAAATAAATACATATAGTAGTATGTATGCATGTATGTATGTATATACATATATATATGTATAGTACACCATATAGTACACCATAGCACAGTATATAGTGTAGTATATTGCAGTCCTTGTCATGGCAAGAACAGTATAACTTAATTGTCTCGAGGCCCCATGTCTGGTACATTCGTATACAACTATAGTACACGGCAGTATACATTCGTAGATGATTTGGTACTGTATCATTGTATAACGCACTGTGGTGTTATGGTAATGTCGAGAGGCCTGCAAAGTTGTGTGAAGCAATTGGACCAAGAGCTAGCATGCTGCCTCCATTCGACAATACTTCGACACCGTATACTACAGTCTCGGGTTACCAGCTTCATTAAGCAGGGCCTCCTGGTTTCCCAAACCTTGTCGGCATTTTTGAACAAAGACAGGGCATACACCTCCAAGTGGCTGACCTGCACAAGCACTGCGAGAGTCTCCTGGCACCAGCCTACCTCCCAAAGCAGATCGTGATTCTTAGGACAGGCCGGGCCATGGGGAAATTGAGCGGTTTGGGGCTTGACGGTTCAGGGTGTCGCACGTCGCCACAATGTGACCTTCTTCATGGAGTAGTTGAGGGTCGGGTGTCTTCATGTGCTCGCTGGGAAACCATGAATCCCGCGTGGAGATGAATGGCCAACACCAGATGGAGATGTTGGAAGGGAACTGATGTTGTGAGCCTGCCCTATCCCTGACAAGCCATAAACCCTGAAAGGAGATAAAGCTTAGATGTTGCCTGGAAAAGCGAAAACATCAAACTCAAATGAGCAGTTGATGTTGATGGGCGAAGGCATATAAAAAGCAAGAGGTGTTGTCCGGGAACCGCTAAACATAGATGACCTGCTAGGGATGAACCCAGAACTTGACAGGGTAAGATAACAGGAAGCTTGAACCGCAAACAAATGCAACTCTTGACTCGCGGCCCTCATCCTAGGACCAGGGTTCAGCAAACACACCTGTGAGCCCCAAGCTGGAAAAACAGACAGCAGCCTTAGCCCGCTGTAGTACCTGACATGTACAGAATCCTGCTCTGCTTGGAATCCTTCTTCAAAAGAAAACAACTTGTTGTGTGCTTGTGACCCCTTGGACCGCACTCTAGACCAGTGCCATTGATAACCGGTGGGTTGCTTCTTTGTTTGCTTTGTGCCTTGATCTGAGTGCATGATGGGTGGGACAGGGGTTGGAGAGCGCGAAACACTCACAGAAGCACGTTGTACGGCAGCATTCACATGTATTGTAGTATGGTCTGTGGCTTTTAAAAGTATATTGTTATAGTATAATAGTGTAATAATTCTCTTCTGTTATGTACACATTTTTCCCCAAACGGTCTATTGTTGGGGTTCTAAATTCAGTTAAAGATTGCCGACATTCTGAGGACTGTTGCCGGGTTCCTGGGCTCCTTGTCTCCCTTTGTCTCCCCTTGTCTCCCTTGTCTCCCTTTGTCTCCCTTTGTCTCCCTTTGTCTCCCTTTGTCTCCCTTTGTCTCCCTTTGTCTCCCTTTGTCTCCCTTTGTCTCCCTTTGTCTCCCTTTGTCTCCCTTTGTCTCCCTTTGTCTCCCTTTGTCTCCCTTTGTCCTTGTCTCCCTTCATGTGGGTGGCTTTGCGGGGTTGCTGTGCTCCTCGCCTCCCTTCGTCTCCCTTCGTCTCCCTGTGTCTCCCGTCGTCTCCACTGTTTCTTTGACGTGCTGTTGACTGTTTGGGGTCTTCGGTGGTGTAATTTCTTTCTTAGGTTTCCGCTTGAGTCGGGGCTGCTGGCCAGGCATGCCGTCGCTGCCCAACGGCAAGATAAACTTCGCAGAGTTGCTGCCCGGGCCGCAATTGGCCAAGAGTTCTTCAAGAGTACTGCCGCGGTGTACTTTAGTAACTTTAGCGCGCTCTATGATGCCATGGTCTTACAGTTTCTGTGATATGCTAGAGCACTCCTAGAGCACATTCTGGCATGTTTTTCGGATGCTGCAGTATGCTCGTTCAAAAGTTGCCTAGCCTGCCATCGCATGCTCTCGTATCGTATGTTGCTCTCACATGCAAGGGGGCCGTCCTGAACCCCCTTTTGCCGGTAAGTCGGGATGTTCATGCATGCTCTAGGCCCGAAGCCCGATCTGCTCCAAGCAGAATGGCCAGGCTTTTGTTGCAATGTAAAATTGCTTCAAACGAAACTTCTACGATCGGCTTCAATCAAGATGCACGGGTTAGAAACGGTCGTGTCTCAATAGAGGGACTTCTGATTGAAGGCGGCGCCAATGTCGAGGTATCTGGCTAAGCGGTTGAGGCATGCATGCTGTAGTGAGGGTGCTCGACAAGGTAGCCCACCATGGATGGAGTCCTGGATATAGCCCTGCAAAAAGTTGCGCATATTGATCGCGTTCTGAGCCCGACAAAAGAATTGAAAGCGTGCAGTGGATATGGACGAGACTGGCAAGTACTGGAAAGCTGTACTGCGTCGGAGCAGTCAGTTGTAATTGAGCAAGCTGCAGTGGCTTAGAGTAAACAGTCCTTGTAGAAGTAAGCCACGGGCATGTTCAGATTAGAGTCACTTGCCAAAGAGAAGTTCTGAATGTGGTAAGGCAGCCCATGAGTCCTCTGGGGATCCAACACGTCCACTGATGGCAGATGTCAAGAGTCGGAGGGAAGAGTCAGACGAAAGAGGCACAAGTTAGACGAAAGCAGAGCCACCTACTGGACGAAAGCGATACCTCCGACGAAAGACAGAGACAGATTCAGCGAGGTGTGAGGCCTCACTTGCTTCCTGCCAGCTGCTTAGAAGGAACGGATGCTTGAGGGCTAAAAGAATATGAGGAGCGGGCCCTCCCTCTTGCCGTGCTACAACATTTTAGTTAGAACCAAATCGTGGGTGAGAGTGTTTACTTGCCCCCTCTCGCGTGGCTGAAAACTTTGGAAAACAACGGGATGGTTGGGAAGATATGTGTATCTCCCCCCTCGTGCTTTGCCAAAAGAGTTAAAAACGGAACCTCCGCGTCGTCAAATCCCACCATTTGCTTCTTTCTGGGAGAAAGCGGACCCAGAGACATGTTTGGTGCGAGTGCGGAATAAACAAATTCGGTCCCGCGTTCATTCCTATGCGTCAAAGAAGTTGAAGTGGTCCAAGAGTGGAATGAGGAGTGGTTGACCTGCCCTCGTGCCAAAGTACTACCGTCTGCAAAAGCATACTGCTCTGGTGCAGCTCAGCTCCCTGTTCACTGAGGAAGGCCATGGCAGATGAACTCATCTTGGAAGCTCCCAAGACTGTCCTCGATTCCCTTGGACAGATGAGGCCGGTGGCAGCATGCGTTTCTGCGGGTCAGCTGGTCAAGCTTCTGCTTTCGTTCTGTGTTAGAGCACGTTAGATCATACAAAAGCCAGCATCATTCTTGGCTTGTCGCCATCACGCGTGCTCAGTCTAGCATCCGGGCATCAAGAGTTCGTTGATGTTTGGGCCCTTTGTCAGGTCCATGTCAAAGTGGGCTCTGTTGGAGAATGAGATGATTCACCGGTGTTATGCTTTTTGGATGGTTGGAGTCCTGCTGGACCACTATGCGATGTGCGCGATGATCACAGACCCGAGCGACCCGTCAAGATCTCTTCCCTCGTGCACGGCGCTGGCATCTTCCAAAGTGGCGCCCTGGTCAGAGGCGCTGATTCTCGACCGAGGAGCACGATTTGTCTGTCTTGTAAGCTAGCATGATAAGAAAGAGGTTTGGTAAAGTCTGCCATAACACCTAGGATCCGGTCCATCGGCAATGACCAAGACCTCTTTGGCTTCATCATGCTCGGAGCTTATCAAGACTCCCGGCGCGGCAAGCGGCTGCGCCTTTCTTGGATCGATCTGTGCCTGGCGTTGGCTCAATCAAATTTTGTGCGTTAAAGTTACACTGCAAGAGTCAACAGTCGCTTTGGTGTTTTCAGAGAGGACTAGAACGAACTCTAGGTACATCTTGGGTATATACCTCTTCATGGCGATGCCCCTACCCCAAGTATGCAATGGGCTCACTGCGGGTTTTGCTTACCCCACGGAGACGTGGCAAGCAAAAGTTGGAAGTATGAAGACAGACGGTTGGGACCAGGCATACATGGAACAGGCGGACGTGCCTCGGTCACGCAATCAGCTGGCTTCCCTTGGTTGTGGCGGGTCTTAGCACCCCCTTTACCTGACCCTAAAACCCTAAAACCTCCGTTTGTGCAGACATTCAGGTAACCTCCGGCCACCGGTGGTACCTCTTGATGATTGTGCAAGCGAAGATGTTCGTGGCCTTGTGTGACCTGGCGCGGATCCCTGCTTGGGCACAGGTTTGTATTGCCGCCTTGTGGAGCTGCATGGGCCCCTTGGCTGTGTTTGTGCTGCCGTTGCCCGGAAGATGTCAAGCTCCACAGGGGGGGGGGAAAGGGGTAGCAGTCCTTTGACATGGGCTCCTCTTGCTGCACCTTATACCGAAAATCCGCTCTTCACTTACATAGCCTCTGCTGCCTTACCTGCAGGACCGATGTATGGAGGAGATGTTTGCCAAGCCGGACTGGGCCCGGACGCAAAGTCCCGAGCTCAGAGGCCAGGGCCAAGAGCATCCAGGAGCCTCTTAGGCTGTCCGCAGAGCCAAGCCTCAAGGGCCTTGAGGGTTTCTGCCTGAAGGGAAGGAAGCCTAGGTTCTTGCTTACCTGGCTCCTGGACAGCTGCTGGATGTGGATCCGATGGGTGGAATGGTACGCGACTTTCTACGTGCTCCACGGCTAAGTCTCTAATCCTAAGATGCCATCCCCGCTTCTCCATGTCTTGAAGCCCCTTGATATGGTATGTTGCAGCGTGCTACTGGCATACTGTTCGCATTCTACAGTGTACTGCTAGCATGTACTCTTCGTGCTCTTTCAGTACGCTCGAAATTACTGCAGCTCGAGTTCAAGGTTCTGCTTTCACTACCTGCGCCCCATCGTTGCTTGGCTCTCCCAGCGGCTGCCAAAGGGACCCACATGGGCTTGCTTGGCGACGGCAAGCAGCATGCTCTTGGGATGCTTGGACAAGAGATGGCAAGCGGGACTTTTAGTACGCCATGGTTCACTTTTTACACGAAAGCATGTTAGAGTATGCGATGCTCGAAGGTGTATATTGAGTACAGCATCCTGCAAGTACATCAAGGATATTGTAGTGTGCCACCGTGAGCTATGGCATGCTAGGTCATATACCCTAGTACACTGCAAATGCGTAGTGGTTCCCAGCTGCTACTCATGGCAAGTGGCATCATGCGCATGGCAGGCATGTTCATGGCACTTTTTCATTATCCCAGCGTGGTGCTGGAAAGTGGAGAGAACACGCGTTGGCTCATCCTTGAGCTGGCCGCAACGATGCTGCAGCCGGCCCTTTTCGCAATGGGCACGTCGTACTGGACGGTGAACGCAGGATGGTGGGGAAACACAACCCTGGGCTGCTACGTAGTCCACTTCCTTTTCCGTGACCGGATGACTGAGCTGTTTCGGAACTTAGCTTCCCTACTGAGTTGGGATTCCACGGGCCTCTTGCTCCCAGCAGCAATGCTGCTAGCATGCTTCGCATTTACCAGCACCGTGGGCCCCTTTGGCCACTACCTCCTCATACTGCCCCAGCTGAGCTGGGCTTACCGCAAGAAAAAGACAGGACACCAGAAGCGCTCAAGCAGGAAGTCGCGACCTTTGCTATGTATGCTATGGAAGGTGCTTGGATAGTCTCTTGAGACTGCGCATGCCGAACAGGCATGCAATCCCTCAGCAACTCGTGCCAAACGTGCGAGTGAGGAAAAAGTTGGGGAGCTAAGGGATATACTAGTGAGATCTCAAAACGAAACTGACGAAGGATGCGATGACGCTGCTGGACAAACTCGCTAGTCTGATAGATGTCTGTGGCTCTCGAGTGTATTTGCGTGCCAAGATGGTTCCCAACGGGCTGACATAGTACGGTTTTTATGGTACATGTGGATCATGTGGTTTCGGGGTGGCTTTTGTTGCAAGCGAAAAGCCTACGGTCACCGACGTACAAAACGCGAGGAGGCAAGATGACTTGATGATTGAGTATCCAAGCCGACAGCCCCTAATCCTTTGTGTGTATTGGCACATGCTGACCTACTGAACATGTAGTGACTATTTGACTACGTGCCTGGTTTCTGCCGCCGTAATCAGTTTATGGGCTGTTGTCACACGCATTCTCTGCTTGTTACACAGTGCTTTGAGTGTGACTCCGCCTAGTTTAAGGACATCCACAGGTCTGGGCATTGAATCCGTGGCAAGATGGCAACCGTTTATACGGTAGTTTGTGCATCGGGCAATGAGATGTATACTTTGCGGTATAGAGAATGTGCTAGACACGCTGCTGACCCATGGCAGATGAAGGCAAGGACAGCTTGCTGCTACGGTTTGTTTCGGGGAGGTTGCACAAAGCGTTTAGTATCAGTACTCGTGCTGATGCCTGCAGTACTTAGATCTGTAGTATGGCTTTGACTTAGATCCCACGTAGAACCGAGTCACTTGCTTCGGAGGTGGGGATCACATAGGCCAGACTCTACAGCAAATCATGTGCACTACAAACGGTGTACTATACGGTCTAACTTTTGAACGACCGGAGTTTGCAAGTCCAGGGTGGGGGCCTGTTCGTAGAGACGCGAGGGTTTCAACCGGAGTTTCGGAGGTACTTTGTATGTCGCACCGAGAAGTTGTTGGCTCTTGAAGGAGGGGGGAGTTCAGGAGATGGAGCTACTCGTGTGCATCGGAGGTAGATTGTGAAGGCCTAAGCTCGGAGCATCTCTGTGAGCAATTGAGAACAGGGTTCAGGGTCTAGGGTTTCGGGTTTAGGGTTTCGGGTTAAGGGTTTCGGGTTTAGGGTTTCGGGTTAAGGGTTTAGGCTTAGGGTTTCGGGTTTAGGGCAATGTCAGAGAGGATGTTCAGGATGCCCCTTGCAAGACACATGCAATCTCCTAAGACCCCTGTAATAAGCTTCAGGCCATCTACAGGCTGTGTTGTATAAAGCTCATGCTTTTTCATGTTCCTAGATAGTCAGAAAAAGGGTTTACACTGATCTATCCAATATCAACAATGGCAAAATACGAATTCTTAGAACTCCTGAGCTTCGAAGCCTTCGCAGTTCCTGGCTGACCGGCCGTTTGATGTCGGCATGAGGCAACTTGACGTGGAGTGTTTTCCTAGATCATCGATACTTGGGATCCAAAGGTGTTCTGATAGTGTCCCCTGGACTTTGTCAAGGGATTGGTTCTCAGTCATTTTTTCGGCATCCGGCTTCGTCAAATTGAAGTCTTCGTGGTGGCATCTTGTAGTAGTTCTGGTTTAGTAGCTGACAAAAAGCAAGTCGTCACAGGTCCAATGCTATTGTCGTACTTTTCTGGTGAGGTTCTGGAAGGTTTGGGATTGAGATGGAAGCTTACGTGCAGCTCCATGGTCTCATTTTGGGATGTTCCCCCATTTACTAACAGTCCTTCATAGGGATTACAATAGGGGGTACGATAATCCCGATTAAGGACTGTTAGTAAAAGGGCGAACATCCCAAGTCTCAGTCTTTTCCGATATTCCGGGCTGGTGCCAGTGCGCGTACATCGTGTCCAACGAACTGTTGGAGCTGGAGCATGCTTCGTCGCTAAGGGTGCGGTTGTTTTTGTTTTTAGAGCTCGTTGCTGTTGCACCTTGAGGTGGCTTTCCTGCGTGCAGACAACCAGGTAGCAGGGGCGTGTCTCATGCATTCCGTGTGATCAAGTGGTGCATGCACTGCATGGCCAAGTTGTGACACTTGTTCCTGCATCGGGAACCTTGCTTGAGATGTTGCCAGGCGGTGGTTCACTTAGGCACAACGAATGCGGGAGGGCATGCGAGGGCACGTGCCCACTGACCATGTGCGTTTATCTCAGGTTTATCTGGTGGTGAGGTTGTGCAGCTGGTTTCGAAGGGTTCCACATGGTTAAAGATATGCATTGCAAGTCTCGCCATGTGCCATGAAGCGCTGCCGCAGCCCAGCACTTGCGGGCTGGGCAGCTCGATTTTGAAGCGTGCAGCTGCTCGTCTCGCTTCGTATTCTTTCTGCCATACAAGTGGCTCGTTCTCAGGATCCAAGCACCAAGGATGCCGAGGTCGAGGTGGAGCAGGATCCTTTGACAGGAGGCAGCCAATGTGTCATCTTGCAAAGCTGGAAATGTTTGCTGGGCCAGCAGTTCGCACTGGCAGGTTGCTACAAAGTTGCTTGTGCAAGCACTGCCCGTGCGTGGATCGGGCTGCGCGGGCGTCCGGGAGTTGTGACAGGCGGTGCAGATTCCGCGGTATACTACTCATATCCCTTTGAACCTGGTCTCTTCTACGCCTAGAACCTCCTGCCATGTCAGGCCAATACTGCTTTGAGGTGAAGGTCGGCGAGGGTCTTCTCCGAGTCGGCTGGTCATCTTCCACGGCCGCACTGGCGCTGGGCACGGCGGGGCAGAGTGTGGGGATACCGGTTGGATGACACACAGGCCACATGATGATGACATCGTCTTTGAACGGAAAGGATGCGCAGGGCTTCGGTTTCGGAGGCACCGGAAAGAAGAGCAGCTTGGCAGCTTGACATTGGCAGTTCGCATCTGACTTTGTACGCTTGTGGGAGTCTTACACACCGTCGCTCACACGCAGCTCCAGGCCACCGTAACAAGTTCGCAGACTACGGCATTGCCTTTGAAGTCGGTGATGTGGTCTCCTGCTGCCTGGACTTTGCATGGGCTTGATGTGGAAGAGTGACCAGTGCTTTCGCCATGACAGCAGTCGAGTGACCTTTGCTGCATCGTACTGTCAAGCCATCAAGAACACCTGCCCTGTCCAAGCAGGACCGCGACCAGCGCCAGATCAGCTTTGGCGTCAATGGGATATGGCAACCAGACAGACACGCCGGTGGTAAACCCTGAGAGTGACCGGATACCGGATGGTTCTCCAATGTCGAAATCAGTTGCATAACTTCGCATCTTCATCGCAATGAACTGCGAGGTAGCCTTCAAGTTCAGAATGTGCTGACTCCATGTCTTCATTGTAAGGTATGGCAAGGCCTTCGACATCCCCAAGGCCTGTCTGAAAGCCCTTTTAAGGCGGCAGCATGCCGCTAAGAACTGGGGGCGGCCTTGTCTGGCTCTCAAGAGCTGCAACTATGTTTGCATGATGTTCGCGTTGTGTTTGCGGTATGTTAGCGTTAGGTTACATGGTGCTACATGTTTTTTTTGTTTCTCACGATTGTATGCTTTCACATGTTGTTGTGCTGCTTTTGGACTGTGGCTTCCTTGGCAGTGAGAGGCCTGGGATGGCGTGGCTCTGTTCCCAGCAGTCTGTGCTCGGGAAGCTTTCCGAGCCACAGGCCAGCAAGATCCGCCGTTGCCGTCTCGAAAATCATGAGCTGGGCTAAGTAAGGCTTGGGGTCGGTTGTGTGGCTTTGATGACGAAGCTTGGCAGAACGATGCAGGTTATTTTGGCTGCCCGGACCACCCGAAAGTGCCGTATGGCTGCGACTTCTGGCCGCTAGGCAGGGGGGGGGGGACCGAGATTGCGCTCTACACCGCCCTAATCTACTGTTGCTGTTTCTAGCGTGCACTGGCAGGTGCAGCTTATCCGGTTGCTTGGCTGAACCCAAACTCTTTCAACAGCATGGCTCAAAAAGTGTATCTCCGATCTACCATCTGCATTGTGGGCAGCACTCGGTGTGTCGCCGGGCTTTAAATCGCCGAGCCGTTAAAGGTAAGAGTCTGAAGCCTGAGGAGGATGTCGTTGAGTCTGGTGGCCCTGTGCCGGAGCCGAGCCTCGACCTCGAGGAAAGTCTGAGAGCAGATGTCGAGGAGCAGATGTGTTGCTATTCGCGATGCTTCGCGGCCGCCCGCAGGAGTCGGCAGAGCGCCGCGGGGCCCGCAGCGGCCGCTTCGCCAAGATGGCCCGTGTGGACCAGGCTCTCTCCAGTGACTTCTGAAGTGGCTCCTTGACAGTTTTGAAGGCAGTGTGGCCTTCACCATGCTCCGCTAGAACTCGAGAGGGTAGCCCCGAGTCGCTAAAGCCATTAAGAGGAGCAGCGGACTTGATGTTTGCAGGACTTGACGGTCCTTTCCACGCACAAGCCGGTGCTGGACACAACTGGAAGCAGAGCTGCAAAAGCGATTGAGACGCCTCACAGCGAGCAAAGCCAAGCTACCCTCAATAGACTTGCTGCTACTATTTCAAAACAAAGCATTCGAAGACTCGTTACCGAACAGCACGGCCAGACACGAATAAAGAGGGAGTAATAATTGCTTTTCTTGTGCGCAGCACGCTTGCCTAGGCCATGGGGGTTGCAAGCAGTATGCAGCACTATGCAGCAGTTCTGGCCCAGGGAGCAATGGGAATGTAATTGCAGCAGCGGTGGCAGAGATTTCGTTAGCTCAGAGCTGCTGGGAGTCCTGTGTCAGTGCATTTTGTTGGCTTTTTGTTTCACATTCAGGATCCGGGACCCTCATTGGGCGCTGCCGCGCTCTGGAACGAGGCACATGCTAACTTGCCTCCGAGCATCAACGTGATTGCATAATGCCAGTTGGTCATCCCTGTAAACCTTGCTGTGAGGCTATCTCCGCGATGCAGCAAAGCTTCGTGATCCGCAACAGATTCGACCGATGCCGGTTCACTCGCCAAGACTAATGTAGCAGGTTTCGGAGCTTGGACAAGCAGAAGGGTCGGCTGAGGCATGTCCTTCACGCCATAGCGAGCACACCACGTATCAGCCGGTACAGGGATGGTACAGTCGATATCAGACTTATCGTTCAGCTACACCAGCTTGGCAGCAGTCATGTGAATGCAAAGCGTGCGCGAAAGTACAGACAAGCATTGTGTTTGTTCATGAAAGCCATGGTTAGTTCGCTTGGTTGTCACAGCTATCGGCATTGAACAAAGACCCCAATCTCTCGCGTCGTCCGCAGAGCAAGTCCGAGCCGCTGTAGCGAGAGCTTTCACGGCTGTCACGGCTGTCGCGTGCTCAGGTGCTGCGTGAGGCACTGCGGCACTGCCTGTCGGCGGGTCGAGCAGCCTGTCTCGAGAGGAACTTCTTCGGGTGGATGATCTGGGAGCCGTGAGATTGCTGTGAGGGAGCCCGAAAGTCTGTCTCCACGACATGAGCTGGGTCCTATCTGAGGCGTGGTCTTGGGAAGCGGAGATGCTGAGGGCTATCCGACAGGACAAGCCTGTTCACGAGTGGTGCATGGATTGATATAAGCCTCGTATTCAGGGAGTCAGCTGCCTTGGGCTTTGCGAGAGCTGCTTCTGATTCCTATCCAATCGGCAAGAAAAAGAAGCTCCTCAATGTAATCGAAGACCAGACCAGACAAGCTACAGGTTGCAGATGCTGCTTTCGTCTAGCGGCATGAAGGAGACAATGATGGGGTCCCCCGTTCGAGAAGCATCAGGGACCAGAAGTTTGGTAGAGTCTTGGCCTACTCTGGGTCCTTCGACTTCGCATGGAGGGAAGGGTTGCGGAAGTCGGAGCAGCGAATGCGAACTGTGTAAAGTCGCAACCCCCTTTCCCGCAGGACATCACCGTCCAACATCTCGACGTCGACTTCATGGAAGAGGCAAAGCTTGATGTCTGACACGGACATGGCAATTGGATCTCGGAATCTCTGCATCAGGTATGCGAGGTGTCGTGCCTGCGTGCTTTGGCCAACGGCGACTGGGCAGTTTTCGCGACTTGACTTGCAGAAGCCAAGCAAGCTTGCCTAGATGTTGCGTGCTTGGGACAGTCATGAAGCAGACGCAGCAGTGACGTTGTGCTGCAATTGCTACAGTAAAGGCTGATTCGCTGACCACACTTCTAGGGTCTGAGCGTGATAATGCATTGCTAGATTCGAGGCTTCTTGCTCATCCACGTTGAAGCAGCGTCCACGTGCCGCGGTGGGGGGGGGGTTGGGGGGGGGGTTGGGGGGGGGCTGGGGCTCGGGAGTGACTGCCTTTTTTCTGTAGAGCCGGAGCTGAACAAATTGTCAGGCCGCCTTTGAAGTGTTGTGATCTCTGTTGTGATCTCTCTTGTGATCTCTGTGGCGATCTCTGTTGTGATGTTGTTTTTGTGGTGTGTGTCTCTCCTCTCCAAGGGGCCTCTCCTAGCACGAGAGGAGCTCCGCTGGCTGGCGCTGTTGGGTCGGCCTCCAGTCCTGGCTTCCGCTTTGACGGCGATGCCTCCAGAGGAGCTCTCTCGAGTTGTGACACAGAGAGAGAGATCTTATCACAACCACAGGGAAAACCAAAACGGCAATCCCTATGTATGTCTCGCACCTGCACTCGGGTGCGCCTTGGTGCGTGGGGGGCCCCTCGGGCCTCCTCATGCCCAGCAGAAGAAGAAGAAGAAGAAGAAGAAGAAGAAGAAGAAGAAGAAGAAGAAGAAGAAGAAGAAGAAGAAGAAGAAGAGGAGGGAGATCTTACTTAGTGTGAGAAATCTCGTGGACAAGAGTGAGTTTTCAGTCTTTGGTGTTCTCGAGTTCTCCTTAGGCTGCACGGAGCCAATGTAAACGCTGCTTATGCGAAGTAGCTGGCGCGAGAGGGCTCTGAGATGCCTTCCAGCTTGTGAGCGCCAAGCTGGAAGATTCCGGAAGCTGCATGATGTGCACGTGTTGTGCACGTGCTGAGCACGTGCTGCAATGATTGCCGGGACTTGGCCATTGCAGGACACCGTCTCGAACTTCGTGCGTGCCACTCTCGCGGATGTCAGCGTGGGTTTGTGGACTCGAGCATTGAAGCGTGCAGCTCCGAATCAGAAGCCTGGCGGCAAAAACGGTCCACCAGCGAGACCTGAGCATGCTGCTGCAAATTACAATCTGTCTCTCTTTCTCTCTCTCTCTCTCTCTCTCTCTCTCTCTCTCGCTCTTTGAGTCCTGCCTTTGATATTGCAATCTTTCGTGTCCCAATTGGTCTTGAGGCCCTTTTCAGTTTAATTGTGGAACTCTTCTTTGAACTGACTAGATTCTCTGCATCATCTGGTCACCATAGAACTCGTTGTTGCCATTGTCGCTTACGCGTGGAGTTGCCGTCGGTCCCCGACCATTGGATGTACTGTAAGGACCGCTAAGCAAGCCTTCGACATCGCCGTCAAGCCCGTGGCGAAGGCAACTTGACAATACATGGTCTCAAGAATGTGTGCTCGTGCTCTTTGGTGTGTGTGTGTGTGTGTGTGACAACCCTTGTTCCAAAAGGAGTGATGTATGTTTTTGCATTGCCAGTGGCATGATTGTCGAGCCAAATCATGATGTTGCGTGTTTAAGTGCGCGCGGCCATTGCGTCCTTTGCGAGGCACAGCTGCTTTGCGCTGCTTGCAAGGCTCCGAGTTCTGTCGACTTCCCCTCTTGAGCACGACGTAAGGGCTCATGGTGTGCCCGGTAGTGTCACTGCGTGGGCTTGTGCTCGAAACCACGAGTGTCTGTGGGAGTTGTGACTTTTCCAATGTGGGAGTCCAGTTGTGCCTCTGAAGCTCTTGTTTGCTTGCTCCGGTTTCTAGCAGCGGCCATGCACTTCCACACCGCGAGTCTTGCAGACCCGATTGCGCGGCATGTGCTCCCCATTTAGGATTCTGATTTGGGTTTGAAGCCGAGAGCTTTGGGTTTCTTCTTTGATCAGGGCTGTAGCATTCTCAGGTTGGGGGCGTTAAAGGCTTTGGGGTGTTGAGGGGTTTCAGGGGGTCTAAGGGGGTCTCGGGAAAGTGCAGCAGGTGCTGCCAAGAAGCCGTTGAAAGTAGGATGGTGCTTCGACAGATGGGATTGCACAAGTCAGTGGTTCGCGGTGCCTTTCGAAGATGCAGGCCTTCCCCACAATGCGGCAGGCAACACTGCTACTTGATGCAAGGAGCATAACTTTGGCTGTGTCCTTTTTTGCCGGCAGTCCTTCAAGAGCAACACGAGCAGCGTGTGATGGGTGGGTGACGTGAGGCAGAACCTGGGCATTGACCGCTTGCCGCCGACGATAAGAGTCACTGACAGTTTGTTGAATGGGAAAGAGGCCGGAACAACACACACACACACACATGGAGATTGGGGCTTTCTTGACATATGTGGACTGCTGGTGCATTCCTCGCCATGGCTGCGAGGTAGACGAGTAGAGGCTCTTGGCATCTTAGAGCTCCGCACTGCAGGCGCTTCCAGCGGCCCAGGAGGCACTTCAGGCTGCACAGCGGCCACGGCAGCGTCGGGGTCCCAGCCGGATTCCGCCGGAATCCCCCGGTTGTTGTCATGTTTGTCTCGCTCTTTCTTTGCTGTTCCTTGAGACTTTCTTTCCTTCAAGTGTCTGCCAAGGCGATGACCACAGCACCTTGGAAGTACCACTGTCTGTTTTGTTTGCCGAACGTGTGCTGGACACAGCGTTGAGACTCCTTGAGTTGTGTGTAGCTTTCTCCCTGCAAGCAGCTTGAACGACTTGTCTTGACAGACATTGCTTCGAATGCCAATGACGTGCGCGATGTTGGATTGTTGGACATGCTGTTACAGCAGAGGCTCCGAATTCCTCCGCTGAGCGGCTTGAGCTGCCCGCGGACGTCTACGCAGGGTCCGAAGATGTGCGAAGTGAGCGAGGGCATGCGGAACAGGTCCCGTCCAAGTCCAAGTTTCCCAGAGCAGGGCCAAGGCGGCCAAGATGGGGGAAACAGCTTTGGCCAACAAGTTGTACTTGTTGGCCCCACGCCCCACGTTTCAGTGTGCCTCGGCGTGAGCCACAAAAAGGTTGGCAAAGCAACTGCCCACAGTGGAGGTGTGGCTTGGGGAATGTGAGCATTGTCTCATGAAGGTTTCGAGCTTGTTCAATGCCGAGGACAAGATGCAGATTAGTGAGGAGGGTCTTCGATGAGCTGTAGCGATGCGTGACTTGAGGTTGAAAGCGCCATATTCGCACCATGTTGAGGTGTAGCTGTTGTGGATCCATACTGCAGCTTCTTGCGCTGAAGTGACCACTATCCGAAGCTGAGATAAGAGAGAGGGGAGCAAAGACCCAACGCTACACTGAGCACAAGAACAGGACGAAGCAGCGGTGATCTGCTCGCAAAGAGAGGCGTGCGGCTGCGGTCTTTTGTCCATTGCGCAGCATGTCGATCCTCCATAAACCATCTAATCTAAACCAAGGATTCTCTCTTGCTGGCTTAGAATTTTTAAATGCGTGGCTCATCTTGCCGCACACATTGTCGAATTTCACACTTTGCTTCCTGCTCGCCTGGTCGAGATCCCGCCGTCAGGACCCTGCTACGCCTCTGGAGCATGGCACTTCGGCTTGGAAGGTTGCACGTGATTCTCATGGCCGCAGAGCTGGCTGAAGGCGCTGCGGGAAGTTCAGGGAAGTCCAGGAAGTCATGGGAAGGGGTGGTGTCTTGACTCCAAGCTGCGCATTTCCATCTGCATGTGCTGTGCTCTTCTTGCCGTCCCCCTAAGTCCCTAAGCGACCCGATGTGATTTTAAGGCCCCGGGAGTAGAATTCGCCTTCCGAATTCTCGCGGCCCTGTGCGACGAAACATCGGGAGCGGTCCGCACTTGTGGCGCATGCACAACAAAGCTGTATGGTGGATTGAATTGAGGGCCGCTGTTGCTGCCCCCGGAATTAAGGCAGCTAAAAGGCAAAACCCTTGCAACGCCGGGGTGAAAGCGTTGAAAGCCAAATTCTTTTTGAAAGCAGACAACAGCTGGACCTCGGCTACAGGGGGGGAAGGGGAAGCTGGGTCTACCAGGGACCTAGCATCGCGGAGCTCCACAAAACCCAACAAACAGAACAGTGTCAGGTCAACAAAATAGCAGAGCAGGGAGCCCAAACTCTTTCAATTCGCCAGGTGCAGATGGTGGGCCTCCTGGCTCAGCCTGAGTGCACCTCTCAAGTCGCAGAGGCAATTCCACAGACATGGCAGTGGTATGCAGTGGTTCACAGCTGCTTCAGATTCATCAGGGGGCAAAAATCCAGTTCTTGCTGTCACATCTTCGCAACCTCCCACAGCCATCTCAGATGAACATAGGTGTCGGAGTGCCCTGCAGTGCGGACAGCACTTTAAGCACCCCGCGAGTGGAACCTATGGAAGTGCTGACCTGCGTGAAGAATACCTTCGTCGAACTTGCAGACACAGAGAGTCCAAAGTTCGAACATCGAAGGACCAGATCATTCGGATGCCAGCGTGATCTGCAGTTTCACCGTCTCCAGAATGCCAGCAATCACATTTCAAATGCTACGCTTGATGACATCGGCTTGCATGATACGGCAGCGCCTGCCAAGAAGAAGAATTCAGAGAGCCTTATTCAATCAATGCTGAAGCCCGGAACCGGGACAACAGCAGTGGCTCAACTCGCTGCCTCATTGCCGAAAGGATACTCTCTCACGCTCACTCACCATGGTGAGCAAGCCCCTGCCAGCTCACATGCTGCTAAGATGGAAGGCTCCAAGACCACCAATCATCAACCGACTGAGAAGAGCGCCAGCGCTCACCTACAAGGACCAGACCAAGGACAGCCTTTGCAGACGGGGCAGCTTTATGCTGCCGCTGGTAGCTACTCCCTCCAGGCACCGACACGGGTCCAGAACCCTATGTGGTCACCAGCACCTGAGAGTGTGCTGTCTTCGTCTCCAGCAACTTCCTGGCAAACTACTCATTGGCAGGCCCCCCATGTGCCTCCTCCCTATGGAGTGCAAGGAGCACAGTGGAGTCATAACAGTCAGAGCATGATGGCAGCCCCGGTTCTGCAGCCAGCGTATGGCCCTCCAATCAACAGCGCGGTGGCCGCGGCGGCTGGTGTTGCGTCAATCGCGATGGCCTTCAGAAGGAACTGTGCATGGCCTCCGACTTGCACAACTTATGCTTCGGGGGCTTATCTTGCTGAGCAACCTCAACCTTGTCCTCAAGCTTCGCCTCACTCTTCCGAAGCTTTGTGGAATCCTTTTGCTTCGCTTGCTTCGCAAGGGTGGTGGAGTGCCCAGGTGCAGGCAGGGTCAGATCTCTGCACGTCTCCTGAGTCCTCTACCACTGCTGCTTCTATCGTGCAGCCTGCGCATGATGCTTATGACCATCCGGAAGAGGAGCCCTCTCCTGAAGAGGAGCCTGAGCTGGCCAAGCCATCACAGCCGGAGCAGCAAGTGAGGACCACCAGCACAAAGATGACAAAGGCCCGGAAGAACCGCGCGCAGCGGCCAGCTTTGCGGGCACCATCTCGCCGGTGGTGCTGCTTCAAGATCAAGATGCAGTTTGACAGAAGTTTCCATCCAGTTCGCATGATCATCGGCAAGAAAGGTGACAACACGCGGCGCATCGCGATGCAGACGGGAGCCAAGGTCAGGATTCGAGGACGTGGTTCAGGCCATATTGAGCCTGCCACAGGCGAGGAGGCCCCCACTCCGTTGATGATGGTTGTGTCGGCAGACTTTGACAACACCGAAGGCTACTTCGTGGCTTTGGACATGAGCCTCCAACTTTTGCAAGAAGTCGAGAGTGCCTACAAAGCCCACTGTGCCGCAACAGGCGCCAAAGCGGCTTTCCCAGCTGTTGTCATCGGCAGCATGTGTGACTTTACGACAGCTCAGCTGGATGGTTCTGACTGCTCACCATCCACGCGGCCGGGCCCTTACGAGTGCTCTTTCTAGGGTCCCAGAGGGTCCTTGCCAACCATGATTGTTCGGTCACGGTGCACAGCGACCCGACTTTGCACTGTGGACTGAGGCCCCCCTGCTTTGCAAGCATGAAGCAGTACCTCTGAGATCCTTTGAGGCCTGGGGCCTGGCCCGCGCACGGAATTTCCACGAGCACGTTTTGCATTCGTCATGGTCGAGACCCTGCGACTTTTTCCCATGTGATTCAAGATTTACTCACGTGCCTGTATGATCCTAGAAATCCTGAGTCCTGAGTATCCCAAAAAGTCATGTTCGTAGATTTCTCTAACTTGCATCTCAGCCACAGTCCGCCTCATAACGCTAAACGCAGGGTAAGACTGAGTCTGTTCAAGGTGACAGATTTCCTGCGCTGCTGGCTACCACAGTAATTTTCTGTGATGTTGAGGTCTTTAAGTTCTTGAATTTCAATCGTGCTTCATTAGCAAACAATCCACAGCAGGCTGCGCAGCTGTAGAAAGCTTGTGCTAGCAGGGCCCGAGAAGCTTGTGCGACTTTGGGCCCATAGCTGGTCCGACTGTACCCTTGCCACGTCAGACTCTTTTCGCAAAGTTCAGTTTATTCTCAAGGTTTGACAAGCTGGTTACCGTTGTCTTCGAGGAGCCTGGCAAAGCTGACCACCTGAGTTGCATGCCGAGAAAAGAGTGCGACTTGGGTCTCGAGTTGGAGGCAAGCACAGGGACTGGCAACCAAGAGGCCAAGCGGACAGCTCAAGTCATGAGAGGGCCCCGCGGCGCAGGAGTTCTCCGCACCGTCCCGAGGGGACGAGGCCGCATCGCAGCGGTGCGCAGCTGTGAGAACCTGCTCTCGCACCATGCCAGACCCGAGTTTGCTTGCTGAAAAAATGCGCTCGTAGGTCCAGAAAGCCAGTGGCTCATCGACACGCTTCCGAACGGCGAGCCGTATCTTGCACCCATCGTGCTAACCCCAGCGCAGGAATCGAATTGGCCTTCTGATTGAACGGCCGCCTTTTTCGTGTTTGCGTATTCAAAGTTTGTGTTTTCAAGTTCTCGCAGGGTTTGTGCAGCGTAGTGGAAATCTTGCGCATCTCACTGAGTCGTTAGGCCGTGCCCTTGCGTAAATTAGTTCTGTACGCTGTATCAACAAAACATTGGAGCGTTGCCAGTCTAGCTAGTCTAGATGAGCTTGGTGACATTCGTGCTTGTCCTTGAGCGCAGAAAGTCCATCGCATGGCTGAACAGTGGTTCAGCAGTTAACGAAGATGCTGTGCCTGGCATCTCAGGTCTGAGCACGCTGTCGCGGATGTGGTGCTTGCAGCACCGGTGCTGGCACATGTGTGCAGCCTTTTACTTACTTGCTTCGTCAGAGTGAGACAAGAGAGCCAGTGGTCGGAGTGTGCAATCTGCTAGCGCGGCTAACGCAGGTGACAGCTCGAAAGGCGACCACCAGGCTTTGGCAGCTGAGACGCTGCCTTCAGAAGCTTCCGAAGTGACCCCCCCCATGGCTTGCAAGGCAGCGCGCACGCTCGAGAAGCTCGCAGCCCAAAAGAGTCAAACGAGCAAACTCTGGAAATCACAGCTATCTCAATTGCTTCTGTCTTGCCATGCAGGGCAACCTGCATGTACTGGTTGTAATTGTAAACGCTTGCGCGCACCGCCTCGGCAGCCGGGCCAGCGCCAGGACACGAAAGGAGGAAAGAGGGTTCTGCTAAAGAAGGAGGTTGGGGGGTTGTAGCAAGGTTAAAGGGGTCAGGTGTTTGCTGGGCAGAGGGGGTGGGGGCGTTTTTGCATGGGGGGAAGGGTTGGGTGAGGGGGAAGGAGGCCCGATCCGGGTCTGCTTGTTCCAGATGCTTCTCGGCAGGAAGCCGAGGCGAATTAGCACCGACATGCTCTCGGACAGCTTTGTCTGCCGTCAACTCTCTGACAGCTTCCTACCTGTCCGATTGCCGAAGCCACTTCTGGCTTGCAGTTAAGCATCACACAGCATCAGTGCCAACTCAGACAGACTCGGCAAGTGTCAAGAAGCTGAGCCAAGTATACCCCCATGAAGCACCAGACTGCTTGAGCTCAGGGGCAGAAACTACCCTTGCAAAGCTTTCGTCACTCCGTCGCCCGGGAGTCATTCGCAAGTAGAACCCGCAGCTCGTGACCGAGCCCTGACAGGCGTTGGCACAGCTCGAGTGTGAGCCGAGCGCACGTTCAAGTGTGTGAACTGCTGAGAATGGTGCAACGCAGGCTACCATGGAGCTCCTCGCCGCAGGAGTTGGAGGCCTTATGCCGGTTTTACTGCTCAAAGGAAAGCTGCACCAGCAACAAGCTGAAACGAGCTGGGGCGAGTAGCCGAGATGTAAGAATTTTCCGAAAAAGCCGAAGTCGCCAGAATCACCAGGGTTGCAGTGCACACACTTCGCCAGCTGGCCTCCTGAGCTACAATCGGAAGAACTTCATGTTCGATAGGGTTGTGGGCTGAGCTGATGCTTTGTAGGGGCAACGACAGCTATTGGAGTGATAGCCGTGTCTGCCATGCGACAGTGGGCCTAGGAACAATATCGAGAACGTGCCTACTTCAGCCAAGAGATGAAGGTATCGAAGTACGAACTCTACCGGGAGGAGCCACTTTCTCTGGGATTCCTGCGTTGCTACAAGTGTTCGCTGCATATCTGGGCCGAAGACCAGACTGTATGCCACCAAAGGACATCAAGGACATGACGGAACTCACTGTGTCCAAGATGGACGTGCCTTCCTGAGACGGCTTTGCGGCTTTCCAAACTGGTTGGCCTCCAGAAGTCGTCCGAACTACAGAAGCCCTAAGAACTCTGAGCGGCTCCTAGCGCATCTTGCAGAAGTGGGAGTGCTGTCTCAGGGATCACGGACCCTTCGGCTTCAACTCGTGAGGCAGAAACCGTACACCATCAGTGGATTTGTGGATCTCTGAGGTATACATGGTGATCAACGTCTTGCAGCTTCTGCATCCTGCCCAGATTGTAACTAAAGCCCAAACGGTCCTTCGCTTTGCTTTGCTCTAGGAGCGTTGACTGAGGTTTTGCGTGATGCTCTTCACGGAAGGCATGCCCAAGCCTGGAAAGACTCCATTGTGGCTGCATTGGCCGCTTACTGAGGTGGTCGTGTCATGTCGTGCCTACTTCTAGTCACCATAGATCGCCATAGCCAAGGATTCTGGCTGCAAGCAGTGCCTCTGGTGTCCTCTACTTTGTGCTGAGCAAGGGCCTGTGCGTTGGTGTGTGAGTCCTCTGGCCTCTGACTGACAGAGCCGAATCGAGCACCCAGGCATTTGGCTGGGCATGCATGCTTCGATTGCGGCGCATTCCTTTGGAGTACCTTGGCCGCGGTGACATTTAGGTCCCAGATCGCGACAAATTGATCCATTCCAGATGACGGGGGCTTTCGCCCTGGGTAAGGGGCGGCCAAACGGGTTATGTAACCGTGGCACGCAAGCCGCGGGTGGAACAGGGATGAAAAGGGCGGATTTTCTCCGTCTTGAAGCATGGGTGCCTTGTGGATATCTCGAGGCCTCCGGACCTCCAGAGGTTGCCAGTATAGGGCAGCGTTCCTTTACGGGCGAATTGCAATTAGGAAAAAAGGGGGTCGACAGTAAAGTTGCACAGTCTCGTGACTCAAGCTCAGGTCAGGCTGCTGACCCAGTTTGTGCTGCCCTCAGCGCAGGCGGAGGATTTGTTGCGCACATCCCAGGCATCGCAGACCCATGAAGATCGCCCCAACGACTGCTGAGCACATCATGACACACATCGTAGCTGTTGCGAAGTGAGCTATTGCTGCTATAGCTGTGTCACAAAATGCAACCTGCAGTTTGTCAGAAGCCGGGCGCCTAGAACAGCAGGTGACTACAATCAGCCATCATAGCAACACGGCACAAACTCAGGCGGCTGAAGCCCGCAAACTTCAACTAGCATTGCAAAGGTTTCAGTAATTCTTGACTCTGCAAGGGTTTAGGGTTTAGGGTTTAGGGCTTAGGGGCTCTGACATCCTGTGACATCCAAAACACAATCCTTGCAGACCAAGGTGCGTCTCCCTGTGCCCAACACGCAGCAGATTCACCGCGCGGCAGCCAAGGCCAAGGTGGGCGCTGGGCTGAGTCTTTGCATGTCTCGGGGGTTTAGGGTTCAGGGTTTAGGGTGTATCGTTTGTATCCGTTTCAATATTGAGGCGGGACGTTGGGGTTTTGAAGAGCTTGGAGAGTATTTGACTGACACATGCACACGGACATTGGCCGAGTTGTACCGCACCTAAATAAGTACGTGAATGAATCCATGGCTTGGTGTATTGGTGCATACCGAGAGTTTCCTTGCCACACTGTAGTGTTGCCTCGATTTTCCCGAACACTGCGCATGTTCGTTCAGCGGAGTTGCGTCCGTCTAAGAACCCAAAAGCAAAGCAATGGAGCCGAAGAGGCCGTCTTTGGGATTCTTGTTTCTCGAGTTTTTGTTTTGTTACCTTGGGTTTTTCTTGGTAAGATCAACAAAACAACGACTTTTTGGGTTGAGTCCCGCGGAGTCGAAAAAGCCCGCGTTTTTTTGTTTTGTGCCGAAAAACCCAGGCTTGTCTGGGATATTGTTGGTTTCTTCGTTCGCGCGGGACCCAAAAGCAAGATTTTATGATTTTTTGGGTTTTGCTCCAAAATACTGTGAAAAAACCAAGAACATGCAACCAAATGGCCTTTGTTTGCTTTTGTATCCCCTTCGAATTTCCAGAGGTGAAAGGCGGATTGGGAAGCCAGCTTCGCATTCTCCCGATCCTTCCTTAAATCTAGTTACGAACGCGGCCCACATTGTATTTGTGTTAGGGTGTGGCCATGTAATGTAAAGTTTCAATCCGGTTTAATCATAAAGCAGGCTTAGGATAGGATGTCTTAGTGTGCGGCAGTTGAATTTCTAGTTAGATGTATTTATTCAGATGAAGATTTCTTAGGGTGTAGATGAGATTTCTTAGGGGAAATTTTCTTAGTTAAACTATGAATGAGGCTGAGAAGAAGCTGTCTCAGGGTGTGGCCTGTTACTAGAAAATTCTAATCGAATTGCTATGGTGTGGCCTTGTGATGTAAAGTTTAGTTAGGTTTAAATATGACTGGGGCTTAAAGAGGATGTCTTAGGGTGTGGGCGCTTAGAAAACAAGTCTGATCAATTTAATCTCTCACGAAACTCAGATGAGGATTTCTTCGGGTCTGCAAGTGTCATGTAAAGTACATTAAGCCTAAGGCCAGAGAAGAATTTCATAGGGTGTGGCCTTCCATATACAATTCTCATTTTTTGGAAAAGATGTCTCGGAGTGTGGCTGCTTATTGTAATTGTTTGAATTGGGTTCACTTTCCAAGCCCAGACTAGGATTTCTTCGGGTGTGGCACTGAAGAGGCACGAGAAAAGGATTTCATAGGGTGTGGCCTTTAAACAGGAAAAGCCAGGTGATTCTAATCAAGTGTCATTTCTAGGGAAACCCAGATGAGGAGTTCTTAGGCTGCGAGGCTTTTCATTGGGTGTGACTGTTGAATATACGCATCAAATGCAAATGTAAACGCGAACGATGCCCAGAAGAGCATTCAGTAACGTGCGACCGTCGAGTTGGATTTCTAATTACGCTTCACTACAAATGAGGCCAGGGGATTTCGCAGAGGAGGATCTTGGGGTGTGGTCTTTTGATCTCAGTGTCTAATTGCTGTAAGGCTGTAATAATATGAGTTTGAACCCAGAAGAGGGCATCTTAGAGTCTACTATATGATTTTGCGCAGACCGGGTGTGAACTTCTGATGTGAAACTCCAGATAGAAGTATTTACGACAGGAGCCCAGATGAGGACTTCTTGGGGTGTGGTCTTGTGATTTCTAATTTCTAATATAAAGTTCGAGATCCAAATTGCACTACGAACGAAACCCAAAATCCTAGAGGCCTCCACAGGAAGGTTTGGTGTGTTTGTACTCACAAGCAACGAACAAGGCCCAGGACCTCCCTCACAGACCTACCGCGGTAGATCAAGCGCTATCCGGACACCCGCCGTCTAGTTGCTTTTCCCGTGAGGACTACGAAGCTCTCAGTTTGAGCGACATGCTCCGCATCCCTGTGCTACAGCAGCAGCTAAGGTGGGTCGTCTTTGAAGAGTTTCGAGTCACGCTGCTGTGCTTGCCATGTGTGCGCGAGGAACCTTAGTGCCACATTGGGCAATCTGTCGTTGCGGGCTCAGACGTTTGAAAAGCTCCATACGTAGGTGGGCTTGTGTTGAAAAAGGTCTTGTTCGTAGAACCACTTCAGGCAGCAAACCACGGCGGAGGACACAACCGGCTTGGAAGACTCCTTTTTACCAGAGGCACGCCAAGATCGTGTGGACTCGCACATGAAGCACCTCAGCCCAAGAAACCTCGCAGGTGTATATGCCATCACTGGAGGAGACAGCGTCGCTAAAGCTGCGGACACAGATCGTCCTGGATCAATGAAACCAGCCCAGCGACATTGCGGCACGTTTGTTTTGTTTGCGTTTGAGTTTGGCAAAGCTCCCCGAGCAAAAGGCACATCCAGTTGTACAGAGACCTACAGGCGAATTGGCAGGCGTGAGGGTGGGTTTCTCCAAGGGGCAGAGAAAGAGAAGTGTGAGTGCTTCACCATGATGAAGTGGAAAGGCCTATGACGCCTATAGCCGAGTGCCGGTGTCCTCAGAGCACGCATGCCTTGGGCAGGCTTGTTTACGATGCGTTTTGTTTTGCCGAAGCCCCTGTTCATTCCAAGGGAGGAACTTCCCGGAACTACTAGTCAAGAAACGTCAAGAACAGCCGAGAACATAACTCAGGGAGGAGGGGACATTGGACAAAAATGCTTCGTGGAATTGCAGAGCAGAGCAAGCAGCAGGCCACAACAGGAACCCCTCCCTCGCGTTCTATTTCAAGAAGGGACATGGACTGAATACGCGGTTGGCCAACTGGCGCAGGTGACCGGTCGAGAGGGAGACCCCCCCCGGTGGCCCTATCTCAGCCTTCAGAAAGCCTTGGCTTCGCCTCATGAGTGGCCCTCAAGTACGAGTGGATTCTCAAGTGTTCTAGGATACATGTTGTGAGCATGGGAGGGCCCAACTCGGCGAATTGAAACGATAGAATCCGAAAGAAGTAGATGGCTGCACCCTAACGCGGAGCGAAGCCAAAGACGAAAGGAACCACATGTCCTTAGCTGAAACAGCGACCTTAGCTGATGCAGCGGGCAATTGAAACGATAGAATCCACCCTCCCTGCGACTCAATGCACAGGAGTGTTTCTGGACTGAGGGGAGCACTTCAAACTTGACATGAACTTGTTTCTTGGACCGCTCCGCTCGCGTTTTCTTCAGTTGTTGAAGTACGTGTCTTGATCGTCATCCTTGCCGTCCTTCACCAGCGTCACTGCAAGATGATGTCGCTGACGTAGCTTGACAGCCTGGTCAAAGGTGCATGGCGATGGGTACAAACCAGCTCTTGCAGTCCCTCAATGCTTACTGCCTAGGTGAGAAGCCTCAGATATATCTTGGAAAGGGAGTTGAAGACGGATGGACTGTGTTTCATTGTCTTGCCAAGGTGTTCTCCTTTCCGAGACTCACAGCGGGTGGGCAGCCGTTTGTTGCATGGCCGTGACTTGACCTTGCACTAGGATGTCTCAAAATCTTCGCTCTTGGTGTCTCTACATATCTCTTTCGCTCAATGCTCGCAATTTGTGGCATGGCATATGCCTCTACTTTGCACGGCTGCTTCGCAGTGTTTATTGTAAGAGAATATCGGCAGCCCCCTTGTAAGCTCAGGTGTTCAGCTCCGTGTCCTGGCTTATCGTCAGGCCTCTAGTGCTGAATGCGCTGCGTTGATGCGTAATGTGCAGACCCACCAAAGCCACTCTTTCCCAAAGTCTTCGATGCTTTGAACAGCCTGGCAGATTGGACGTCCTCATCAGCTGGAGGTTGCTGATGGTGGCGTTGGTCTGCCAGACATGGTTTCGCACGAAGTTCGTGCTGCCGCCGTGGCGCGAACGCTGAGTGCTGACAACTACTGACAGTCTCAGGTGTCATGTCTCCATGCTGTATTGTATTAAGTGTTTGCACACACGTTGCATGTCTGCTGGCCGCTCAATGACTCAACGACGGAAAGGGGGATAGTTGTGCTGGGAAGACGATGGCCCTCGACAGCAATGCTGAGAGGCGATGTGGAGCGTGAAAGCTGACTTGGAAATCTTATCAGGGAATTGAATGGCTGATGCCGCTACCGCGGCTTGAGTTGTACGAGTTGTACGGAATTCCTGCGCGATTCAGCTGGAAGATTTAGGAAACTATGCGATTCAGGAAGCTGGCTTCACGCGGTTCAAGAAGCCACGCGATTCAGGAAACCGGTTTCTGCGAGGCAAGAAACCACGCGATTCAGAAAACCACGCCGTTCAACCAGGGAACCAGGAGCCATTCAAAGCCACGTGATTCAGGTGTGGTGGGGGCCCCCGAAGCCGCAGTTTCCGAATCCGCGGTTTCCTGTTCCCAAATCCGTGCTTTGAGGACTCATGAACCCAGTGCCATGGGCAGCTGTAGCCGATGCTTGGTCGGTTAAGGTCATAAGGCTCGGTTCATGTCTTTTAGGCCCCTGCCATTGGTGCTCAAGTCAGAATTCTGAACAGCTGGGTGTGCCATCCAGAATCTGCGACCTCGAAGCTGAGACTAAGGCAAGGTCAGACTATGATGTTTGCGGATGTTTGCGGAATGGTTGTCCGTTCATGCTGATGGCATTGCGGAAGTTGCTACAAAGGGGCAGTTTTGGGCCTCAGGCTTCTTACAACCCGATCTGCGGTGTATGACTCAGGAAATGTCAAACCCATCTTCCGATCCAATTCTGACGCCTGTGGTTGCGCTGTCGGGTTTGTGCTTGCCTGCTCGTGCCAGTCGTCGGTTGTATGTTGAGCTAGTCCAAAGAAGAACTCCCATGAGCCATCGACTGAGATGCTCAGTGTAGTTCTTTGGGCTGCCGTAGCGCGCGTCGCGCTTTGTCGCAAAACGACGGATGCATCCCAGCCGTAGCCCATGCTCTTAGTTCGGTGCGGCGCTTGTCAAGAAATCGTGAAGACTGGCAATCCGCATAAGAATCATCAACTGCACTGGGGCTTTGTCGCATGGGATGGAAGAAACGGAATGCAAACTCACACAAGGTGCAACGACGCAAGACTGGTGCCGATAGGTTTCGAATTGCAACAGTGTGCCCAGAATTTGATGCAGGCCGGGAAGAATCCTTGCGATAGTGGTTGTACCTGAACACTAGCGGTTGAGCTTTGGGCGGCGCCGCAAGAATGCTGCGAGTGACATTCAGAAAACATTTAGCGAACAAGGGGTGCAACTAGCTGATGCAACTTACCTTGCCAGGCCCTTCAGTCCGAACCACAGTTCTGTGTCTGCAGCACTCGAAGCAATCAAGTTTGAAACCCTTTGATGGGCAGTTGCATCAGCTCCTGGCAAAGCATTTCACGAATACCAGTGAGGTTGGGGACTCCGTTGTTGACACTTTGCTGCCTTGCGGCCTCCATCCTGTTCACTGGCGTCCTATCCGTGCGCGAACTCAGTGATCCGGTTCCATGGGGTGAACATCAGCACTGCTTTCTCAGCTGCATGACCCCAATTCCTTGACAGCAATCGACTTTTAAACAGTGCTTCTCCTGCAGCTCATCCGCGCCCTTGTGCCCGTCATCTTTGCTGGGATCTCAGCGACCGTGGCGTGCGGAAGAGTTAGTCAGGTTGAAAGGTTCGTCACGTCTCGCGAAGAGCTTTGTTCTAGAAATTGCCGGCAGGTTCTGCATCTGGCCTGGATGGTTTGCTGCCTGCGACTGGCAACAGCTCAGTCCTTAGCGTAAGGTCTAGTACATGTTCCAGGTCGACCACGTGATGTGAAGTGCAGCCAGCACGAGTGTCGCAGATTGTGCTTCGTTGACCCATCCTCGACCAGGGGCACGGTGACAAAGTCTCACTGCCAGGGAAGGCCACTCCGCACGATGTAAGCCATGCAAGCTGTGTGCTCGGCATGCTGCATTGAGGCTGCGACCTTATCTTGCGGGATGTTTGCTGACCTGGGTGAGCTTAGCAGGGAGAGGTAGTTGTACGAAGCATAGGCTTTGCGTTCTGTATTCCCCCCCCCCTCTGTGGAGCCTGCGCAGTTCCGTGGTGTGCTCTACTTGGACGTCTTTGGCTGGCTGTCTCCAGAGGCCAGGCATCCAGGAATTTTTGGCATCCTGGCATGTTTGTGTGCCCAATTGGGGCAGCGCAACCTTTCAGGTCACTCGCGGTTACATGCATTTGCGCTTGCTCGTTTGGCATTCAAGGAGAGAAGCGGGCCTTGTCGTTTGCTTCATCCATCTGCACAGGCAGAGAGTCCTCGTGCCCCGCGAAGACGCGAGGCAAGCTTCCAGGATCTGTTCGAGGTTCCATAGTTGCGAACATTCGCCGCAAAACGAGCTCGAATCCACGTGAAAGAAGCTTGGTGCGTTGTGGTGGCCTTTCTAAGCTGTGCAGTGAACTGGTGAACTGGCAAAGTGTACATCATAGAGGCCGAAATCGGAGAGAGGTCCACGAGTCTTGGGTGAGGGTTCCTCAACTCCAGGGATACGGTGGTGGCAATGACGATGGAAGTTGCAGCAGAGGTAGGCTGCTAGAGGCAAAGCCTATGGGGAGGTTTGTGGACCTTCATGTTGCCGCAGGATCTGTGAGTACTCTGTTTTGGGCATTTGCAAAGCCAGAGGTATGGTACTCCTGCTGTAGCAATGAATGCATGCGGCTGGCCATTAAGACATGTAAGCTCGTTCAAGCATATCTCGTTTTTTATGAATAAATATAAAAACCTACAAATACATACATAAGTAGAAACTTATCAATATAATAACATATACATATACAAATGTGATCGAGATGTGCGTGGTCGACCCTTTCGTTTCGATAATAGTGCGTGGGCTTGTAAGAAGGCGCCGGCCCCAACAGAACAGCCGCCAGAAGACGAGGCCAACGTCCCGTCTCAAAGCGGATGGCGCTCGTGTAGTCTTTGTGTGTGTGTGTAAGCGGTGGAAGAACAGAGGAGGGAGCACGGAACAGAGGAGGGATCATAGCAAAGCAGGACTCAGAGACATGAGGCAGAGATGCTGTTCAATGCTGTTTCTTCGAAGGCCCCAAGTTCTTTCCAGCCACTTCCCGCCATGTACATGACGCTTGCGGAGCTCTGCATGCGTCAGAGGGTGACTTGGACGTCAATGACCTTGGCAGTTTTCATGCCCCAGGAAAGGTGCATGCAGCGCACGAACTCTGTACCCCTTTGTCTTCAAGTCTTCAACCAGGAGAACCGATGTGTTCATTTTGAATACTTTCCAATCTCATTCCAGGCTGGACTTGCCTTGCAGCTGGAGAAGTGGGAAAATCCTCGAGTGGCAAGCGTTCTCAACGTGCCTTGCACCAGGTTTCAGTAGACCCACAGACAAGCATCAACAGGTCATTTGACCGTCGTGCGTCGTATTTACTTGGCATGTGGCACAATGCAACAGGTATGTCCCAACTAGGACCTAGAACCCTAGAAAAGATAGAAGTGAGGCAGTAAAAGGATTAGTTGATGATAAATCAAAAGTACAAAAAAGACCTCTATGAGGTCCAGGCTTTGCAAACGGGACTTGTGCAAGCAGTCTGTTGTGCTTGCCACCTGAGTTGTAGAGAACAAGGGACGTGCCCTGAATCCGAAATGGCCAGGACGAAAGTTGGCTGGAAGAAGTTGCAAAGCAGAGGCTTGTCTGCGCTCCACAGAGATCCATTTCGTCGGCAGCAGCTCTTCTGACTACGTTGATCGTGTCCATCACTGTCCCCTGCAAAAACACTGAGCGAGCACACATGGTCGCAGGTAGCAGTGGTGATAGACAGCATGACAAGCCCAAGCAAGATAAACTGGCAAGACCTTGCAGGCAAAATGAAGGTCTGAAAAACGGTCCCGGGGGGTCGGGCTCGGGAGTTTTATACCCCAGCCAGAAGCCCATGTCAAGTCTCTGATCCTTTGTCGTGTCCATGGTGGTTTTTTCCTTTACCAGGCGCCGTTTCGAAGAAGTGGAGGAGGCAGCAGCCGAGCATCTGAATGGAAGAGAAAAGCCGAAAGCACTCTGGCATCACCTTTCCGCCCTCTCCTTCCCACCACTTCCCCCTACTCGACTGCTCCCGGTATCGTATCCACTGCAGCAACCTCCCCGCACCTTTCATTACCTTTCCCTTCAACTCTAAAGCCCCAAGCGTTGCAGTGCTGACTACAGTGCTGCATGGGGGAGGCTAAATGAACATCAAGTCTTGGTAATTGTGACGGAAAGTTAAAAGGCTGAACACCTTAACTCCAGAGCCCAAATTCGGAACGATGAAGCCCTCAACCCTCATCTCAACCCAACCCTTCGCCCCTGAAGCCCAGTCTAAGGGCTAACTCCCAAAACTCTGAACCGGGAGCCGGGCAGTCCTGCAGGAGCTGCGAACCACTTTGCAGCGAGCCCGAGAGCAGCCACAGCAGGAGCGCCTATCCGAATCTTTTTGCCAGCTTCCGTGTGGTCACCGCCAGAGAACAAACTTGTCAACGGTTGAACCAAATTCAAGTGGATCATGCAGAGGATGCAGATGCAACTCCGAGGGTCTGATGCTCGATGTCGGAGCGATGCTGCACGCGCTTGTCTCTCCCAGCACTCATGCTTACAGTATCTAGAATGGGCTCAGCGACTACATGTTAAGAGTGCTACGAAGTGCTCTGATGAAGCACCCCTCTCGGGGGGAAGCTTCTTGTTTTTTTGCCGCTGCTGTGATAGCTTGGCTCCAAATCCCTGGCGCCATGTGGCGGTCCTGTGGGCTCAAGGCAGCGTCCCTTGAATAGCAACGCCCTTCACTGAAGCCCTGCATGACTCTGCGGACGTTGACAGGTCGCCAGTCGACCATAGCGATGCTCCAGGCCGAGGAGAAGACCTCCGTGCGGCCCACAGAATCTGCGCAGCGAAGCCTGCCCATCATTAACCATGGCTTCGGGCGCTCCGTTGTGTTGCTGCGATGTCACTGAAAGGTGATACTGTGATACTCAGCCATCAAGAGCTCAGGTTTGGTACCGAACCTACGCCGAGCCCTCACTTGTTCTTAGGTGTATTTGTCGATGAGAGCTCGCAGACATCTCCATGCAGATAACTCACGCGTCTGCAGTGCTTCCTGCAGCTGCCAAAGTAGAGTCTGTTGCACTTGCAATGTGCGAGATGCATCCGCCTGGCAAGGTTTTGTTCATTCTGCTACTGGTCTGTGATGCCGTCAACAATTTGCTGTGATGGGGGGTGTTCTGTGACTATACGGTTCCTGTAAAAGCTTTCCGAGGAGGACCACCTGCAACATTTGTTGCCAGGCATCAGCAATCTCGCGACTCGCTACCAGCCGAGCTGCTTGGTCCAAGCTTTTCACAGCATGGCCCTTGCATCTTGCGCAAGACTTGTGCACCTCTGTCACGTCATTCGCGGACGCATGTGCTTGCCATCCTTGTCCTTGCTCTTGTTTGGGGACGCTTTGGTGGGCTCCCGTGCTCATGTTGATCGCATTCCCATCGCCAGTTTTCATGGAATCCGTGTTAGCTGGAGACTGTGACACGCAGCATGATTTCTCTCCTAGGTTTCCTGATTACAATTCCAGTTCTGGAATGCGAAGAAGTCTGTAAAGGCTGGGGATGCAGTTTCAAGATTGCAGACGCAGACGTGCTTCAAGCCTGACTGCTAGTGCCAAGCTGATAGACATGGAATCATGCGGCATCCTGCTTCGCCGTTGGTTTCAGGAATCGAAATCACCAGCGCGAGCCTCAAGGGTGCTTGTCACACGGCACGGCTGGGTGTTTTTTGCGCAGAATTCTTCTTATTCACTCCCTGCCCTCGCTCCTTGTTCTAGGTTCTGATTATCGTTCCTTGTTTTTGTTGATGTGTGGTTTCACTCAGACCCATAGCCATACCCACACCCGCACTTCCATCCACATCACCCACAGCATCCATGCCACCACCCATGCCACCACCCATGCCACCACCCACCCACACCACCAGGACAGCGCCACTCGACACAACCAGCCACACTACCGACACCACCCGAACCATTCACACCCCCCACACACCAATGCAGTCGTTGATGAGAAGGTCTTTGACCCTTGGGAAGAGGCTTTTGGGCGGCTTTGTTATGAGAGTGGTATATGTACGACGACCACCCCCGACAGTTTATCATGCAGCCACCCGGAGCTCAGGGTTGCCATTGTTGGAGGCCGATAGCCCGGGCACCCAACCCTGAGTTGGCCTCAGCGGGCCACCCCTGCAAAATTATGCGTCGTTGCTGAGTAGTGATAGAAACCTTGTGACAACCTTAGTGGCGGTTTGTCACCCTCAATCTCGGTTGTGCTTTCAGTCCTGGGTTCTGCTCCGGTTGATCTTTCTGTGTGAAAACTGCGTGACATCGCATACACAGCGGCGAAAGAAAAAGTCTACGGTTGATTTGCAAAGCTCTGACACATGCAGACAGTGCTCCCGACACGGAATCGGTTTCTGTCAGTTTCTGTCCGTCAGGCCTGTTTCGCTGTGTGTCGCTTTCTGTCAGTCCCTCTCTCTCTCCAGGCTCTCCCCCTTCCCCTGTGCTGCGCAGCTACCCACGCCTTGCTCTGAGACCCAACGTGTCAGTGGAAGACACCGGACACTCTCATCACCACTTCGACGAGGCATCTGGGAGACTTAAGAATCCTAGCGCAGACGCCTACCCTAAGCCCTAAGCCCTAAACCCTAAACCCTAAACCCTAAACCCTAAACCCTAAACCCTAAACCCTAAACCCTAAACCCTAATGTGATAGTACCCCTTATTATCATCCCTCTTAAGGAGCTGCAAGGGTCATTTGTGGGTCCCCAGCCTGTGCAGGGAAGAGCAATGCCGAGCATGCAGACAGCAGCCGGCCATGCCTCCACTGATCTGGGAAGGCCCCATGAGAGTCGCCGTCACACATGGGGGGGGGGGGGGGAGTTTCCTATAATAAAGGCGGCACCCTTTAAGAAGGGATCCCACTTTAAGGGACCCTAGTTTAGAGAAGTACCCACATGTAGGGCATGTAGGGCAGCAGGTGTTCCAGACTGTGCAGCTGAAGGTGCTATGCCGAGGGAGCCGCCATCATCAGAGCTGCCTCCAATCGACAAGGAGGCGCAACTGGGCGCCTAGCTAGAGCGTGGCCTTGGCCTCCGGAAAAAGCCTCCGGATTGCATCTTTGACTCTGTCGAGGCCATGGTTCTGCAGGTTGATCAAAAAAAGCTGCCGGTGCTGGGCTTACAGAGCATGGCATGAGAAGTAGGGAGGAGAACGCTGCAGAGCAAGCCGATTTCTGGCTTCACAAGGTCCGAAGGATTGGACAAGGCAAGGCGCTGCAGACGGAGCGCATGCCGCAACAGGCTGCGGCAAGGGGGAGGTCGGGGAGGTTCCGGGTCCTTGTCGCTGTCATCCTCGGTCGGGCATTCCCATGCCATCCCAGACTCATCAAGACTGCATGGAGTAACGCTTGGAGTAACGCTTCGGGCACGCTCTGTTGCTGTGTGCAATCTGGCACCACCAAGAGAAAGTACTATGCACAAGACTTCTCTCGACAGGAACGGCGGGTAGATGATGCACCTGGGCAAGACAGCAAGTTCTTGTTTCACTGTGCTCGTAACTTGCGGTTCGAACTTTCTTTAGACTGCAATGGATGCACGTTTTCAAGCACGGGCAGGGAGAACCAATTTGGACCGATTTCCTACATGACATGCTGAGAATTGCTTCCTAAGTCCAGGGAGGGCTCGAAGCGGGCCCTACTGTGCTCTAATGTTCGGAGTTCCTCTCGCACGACTGACTTGTGGCTGACTTGCTGTACCTCAGACGCGCCACATCGACACCCTCAGCGGCTTCTACAACATGGCAGACGGAGCCTGTGTGGGACCTTGATCAACATTTCACGGGGAGCAGTCAGCTGTTGTGCCGTGTGGGTGAGAATTTTTCTCTTATGATGCCCATGAGGATTGCCACTCAAATCTCAGAAGCGCCAATGTGAGGTTTGTGGTATTGGCAATATGGCCTTCTCATCGGCTATGGCTTTGCCTTGGTCTACGCGGACACGCGCCCAGCTTTTTTCGAATCACTTCAAGTCCCTGAAAGACGGTGCATGGAGGCAAGTGTCGTATCAGCCCCAACTTGGGGGCAGTAGTGCTCCAAGGCAGGCAGCCTTCCAGCAGGTCTGCTGTGCGCGCGCTGCTCAGCTTCGGAAACCATCCTCGACAGAGACTAAACTGTGAGTTTGCATGGCTGTGCCATGGCTGTGCCTTGATGGCTCAGTCAAAAATATCTTGCTTGTATGGGGCTGTGGATGTACTCCTGAAAGCGAGCCACTAAACACTCTTTTGCCGTGGCTGTTTCATACAGGTATGTACTCTTGTCAAAACTAGTCGAAATCATGCCCTATTGGGCAAGAAATGTCTCATCACCAAGTATGTGGGCATCCGCAGAAGCACTTTTTGCCAGCAGCATGAACCAACATTGCATAGTCCATGTTTGTTCCTTGCTTGGGACGGTCGGGGACTGGGCGGATGTCGGGAGTGTTGAGTCATGATTTGGTTGGCAGGGGCGGGTTTCTGGCCAGCGACTTTCTTAAAACCCCTCCCAAGAAAAGTCGACACTGTGCCCAACTGTCATCTGCAGGACCGCTATCGCCGCAGCGGGATTCTGGCCTTGTCCCTGTTTGTGTGGTCCATCTGCACGTCAATGCAGGCCGGTTTAAGCAGAACGGGTGTTTGGAAAAGGTGTGATCTCCAGGACGAGTCTCTGTTTGAGAGGCACTTGCCAAGAAGATCTGGCTGCTGCTAGTGTGGCGGGCGTTGGTCGGCCTCTCCCAGGCAGGTGGAGTGTCAGTGGTGATCTGCGAACACATTGTGAACGTCAGTGCGCTTGGGCTGCATGTCGAGCCTGGTGGAAGCTTACATTCGACACTTCCATTGCGGCAAGCATATGTGACGTGTGAAGCAGACTTGTTGCAGGGCTTCGGCTATGCCGCATCGAACTCGCTTCTTGGATGCATGCACGTCTTACCCTGACTCCTCTAGCATTGCCACTTGCCATTTTCTTTGGTTTGAAGTCAAGAGGCTACTGCCGCTACTGCAAGGCACAGTTTAGCTCTCCATTTGCATCGCTACTTGGTCCCGCTATCAGGCTCCTGCTGGATTACTTTGCGAGTGGGCAGCTCAGGAAAGGGGGGAGAGAGGCTCAGAGAGAGGCGTATTACTACTACCTACTATTCTTTTGATGATATATGAGTATTCTTATGAGTATGTTATTATTACTATTATGATGCTTAGGAGGGAGTATCGGCTCCACTAGAAGGGCTCAGTTATTGACTTGGGGTGTTCAGGCCAGTGATCGGACATTGAGCCTAAGAAGCGTCAACATTCGGAAAGTCATACGTGCTAGTAGATGATGGCTTCGTGGAGCTTGGACATTCCAGAAGATGAGGCAACCGAGGACAGTCAATCGAGCTTTCCATCGGCAGTGGTGGTAGAGACAGCTGCAAAGAAGCCGAGGGCGAGTTCTCCCCTGACTTTGACGCCCGAGCCGTCCACAGGGACTTTGC